TGCACTGGTGAATTCCAGAACAGAGCTAAGTTGCCAAAATAGATACACAAACAACAAAAGTAAATGGAATAATAAGAAAAAGGGTCTCTGATGCGAGGGAAATCTGTTCATATGGCACCCATGAGCTCACACACACACACACACACACAGGCAGACATCAAGACATCAAAACAGATCACTGCCTTAATGCCAGTAAGCCATGTTAACCACACATCATGAGAAATCTGTTGGAAATAGTGGCCTAGTTACACACACAACTCTATAATTTCTAACAAAATCAACCTCAGGTTCTCCCTGACCACATAGAGACAGAAGCAGAGTGTTGCAACCAACGACTGAATTCCGGATTCCAGAGATGCTCTACAGTAGTTAGGGCTTACATACAAATGTGATGTGTTTCTTCTTACAAAAATTACAGAATTAAAAAGCACTTGGCCCAAAGGTGTGGCACCGAAATCTCTTATCCCCAAAAAGTACCATTACGTACCATCAAGTGTGGCTAAAAGAAAGTTTTCAGACTATAAGCACTTCTAGCCTAATATACTCATATAAGGGAAGCCTTGATTCGAAATACACTGCCCATCTTTACGTGGGCAGTATCGGTGCTGTTCATTTCACTGTTCCATGCTTTTCTATGCGATCATTTGCCTCTATTTCCATCTTTATTCATCATTGTCACATCTCAATATTTACTTTGCTAGATAATTGTTTTTGTTCATACTGCAATGTTTCGTATCTTCTTAAGCACAACAGTGTGAAGTTAAATACATATCAGCTCTAATTTTATTAATAAATTTGTTCATTTTATCCTAGCATGCAAAGCTACCCAATCCATAAACGTATCTGTATCTCTAAAGCATTGCCTATAAATGCAATTTTATTAATAAATTTGATCATTTTACACTCGGAGTCTCATTGTTTTTGCATTGTTTTTTGCCCTCAGAGATATCCACAAACCACTCCATGTCTTCACTAGAGAAAACGATTGCAATAGAAATTGGTAAGTTCTTTCACACAGAAGGAGAAAATCAGGAAAAGGGCAAAAAAGAAAAAAGGAAGTCAAAAATTTTTCATTGACATCAAATCGAGCCTAAGATCTCACCATTATCATGTTTATTTCCACTTCCAGGCAAAACAGGGTTTTTGATAGTACTGGCAGCAATTGTCGTCATAGCTTTATACTATTGGAAGAAGAGAAAACCAACTATAAGAGAACCGCAACCAAATATAGGAGAAGGGCAACGAGCATTCAATCAGCCAGCACTGAATGGGGTTCCAATTCAGGATGTTGATGCACCTTCAATGGCGAAGTTCTTCCAAGACCTGGCAAAGGAAAAACCGATTAGATTTCATGAACAGGAACTACGTAGCTTCACAAGTAATTACTCGACAAGGTTGGGTTCTGGAGGTTTTGGGGTTGTTTACAAAGGGCAGTGTACAAATGGAGTGCAACTCGCAGTAAAGGTCCTCAAAAGGAGCTCAGAAAGAAGAGCTGAAGAGCAATTCATGGCAGAAATCGGAACTATAGGAAGAACCAATCATATAAATCTAGTCAGACTCTATGGATTTTGCTATGATCACTCTATAAGTGCGTTAGTGTTCGAGTACATGGAAAATGGATCGCTTGACAATTACCTGTTCAGGGATACAGAAGCAATTGAGTGGGAGAAGCTACATGAAATTGCAGTTGGGACGGCCAAAAGTATTACTTATCTGCATGATGAATGCAAGCAAAGAATCATTCACTACGACATCAAGCCCAGTAATGTTTTACTTGATGCAGACTTCTTTCCAAAGGTTGCAGATTTCGGGCTAGCAAAGCTGTGTAATTGTAAATGTGATCGAATATAGGGGGACTCCCGGTTACTCTGCACCAGAGCTTATTGTCACGGGCTTAGAGTTTCAGTACCACTCTAGCTGCTCCCGTGCGGCACCAAGACGTTGCTTTCACTCTCGCAAGTACTTGGTCAGCCTAACTCCCGTGCACACCTTAGCCAACACACTCCCCTCGTGCGCTTACTAGTGTTGTAGTTGCCCTCGCCCTCTCCTCACCTGGCTTGCACACTCACACACACTAAGGCACTTAAGTTGGCAAGGAAAGAACACTTCTATTACTTCAAAGAATGCTTTGTACAAGGCTAGCACTCAAGCTCTCTACAAGGCTCTCAAGACTCACTCTAGGACTTGTTGGCTACAAAATGAAGTCCTACCTCTATTTATAGGCATCCCCATCCCTAATGGACGGCTAGGATGCATTCTAACCAACGGTGGAGATTGATTATCTAGAATCTTCTCCCACCTTCTTCACACTTCCATACTTATCTACTAGTATCTACAACATTCTAGAATTCTCCATACTACTCCACACAACTCTAGAGAACTCTAGAACCTTCCACACACTTCTACACATTTCTACACATATCTAGAAACTTCCACATAACTCTAGACTATTCCGGAAGACTCTAGAAACTCCACTTGCCATGCAGTTGCCATGCAGCGTCCTCCTCAGCGTCTGCGTGTCGCCTGCGTGGCACAACCTCCATAGGCGGGGCGTGACATTCTCCCCCACTCATTTCCGTGACGCCCTCGTCACGGTTTCTTCAGCTGACCCAGCCTCTCGCAGGTCATCAGCACTTGCGCATATGTCCTTGGCCCAAACGTACGAGCGCCCTTCGGGAGATGTGAAGTCCTCACGAACTCCATCGTGTTGACTGCCACCTCTGGACTCTCCTTCCTGCCCACGAGCGGCACCATGCATGCGGCCTTGCCTTCCTCGCCTCCAAGTATCATCAACGCACCAAGGCATGGTAGTGGCGCGGCGTTGTTCCTGTCCATGAACTCCAGCCCCAGCACCATGTCGTGGTCGTCCATCTCCGCAACTTGGAAGTCAGCCTTGCCCTTCCATCCTTGCATGCATAGCTCCACCTCCTTGCACACTCTACTCACGCGTGCCTCCTCGGAGTTGACGGCCTTGATCCAGCCCTCCGTCTTGCGCATCTCCAAGCCAAGTCGTTGCGCCTCCTCCGGGGTAATGAAGTTGTGTGTAGCACCCGTGTCTACCAACGCTTGCACGGCTTTGCCACCAACCTGCGCATCCACATAGCGCACCCCAGCTACCTTCTTTGCCTTGCCCTTCTTCTTGGTGTCATGCGCCATGCTACTCAGCATCTGCATAGCCCCCATGCACCTATCTTCATCACTGCCCGCATCGTCCACCCTGCCCTTGCCCTTATCCTTCACAAGGGCGCTCATGGTCTTCTTGTTGGGGCAGTGTCGCAATATGTGCGGCCCTTCGCACAAGTAGCACTTCGGCTCCCACTTGCCCTTATCGCGGCGCTCCCCTTTGCCACTAGCCTTAGACCTCTCTCCATGGTCCTTACCTTTATCATGGCGTGGGCGTCTCTCCTCATCGCTGTGCTCATCATCGCTAGACTTGGGCGAGCCCCGTTTCTTGAAGCGCCGGTCTCCCCCACCTTTGCCGTGGTCCCTCTTGGGAGACGTGGCCCTCTTGTCATCGCGCCTAAAGTCTTCGAGGCGCTCCGCTATAGCCATTGCGGATGCCAAGTCTCTAGGCTCCCTCCTCCTTAGCTCCATGGCCACCCAAGACTGCAGCCCATCAATGAACAAGCACACACGTTGCCGCTCTGGCATCTCTGGGATCTCCAGCATCAAGTTGGAGTACTCCTTCACATACTCCCTTATGCTGCCCTTCTGCTTCAGGCGCCTTAGGTTGATCATGGCGAGGTCCTCAACGCACTCGGGATAGAACTGCCTCTTGAGCTGCCTCTTAAACTCCTCCCATGTGTCAACTGCTCTTGCGCCTCTACCGGTGAAGCGCTGCCTCCACCATAGAGCGGCAGTGTCCGTGAGGTACATAGTGCCTGTCTGCACCTTCTCCTCATCATCCTCGATCTCCATGCACTCGAAGTACCGCTCCATGTGCCAGAAGAAGTTGTCAATCTGGCGCGCATTCCTTGCCCCATCGTACTCCTTGGGCTCCGGCGCCTTCTTCTTCCTTGGCTTCACCACGACCTCGCGCGCCTGAGAGAACTCCTTCTTGCACTCGGCAATCTCCATGCGCAAGTCGTCTACCCGATCATGCAAGTCCCTTTCTTTCTCTTGCGCCTTGTTGGCGATGCCATCAATCAGCTCGTAGAGCTCCGCCATCCTTCTCTCGAGCCTATTAAACTTAGTCTCCGTGTAGACCAAGTGTGTGGCAAGCTTCTCCTCCAAGCTCTGCTCTAAGATGTGGACTTGGTGGTCTCCTCCGCTAGCCATGTCTACTCCAACAAAGCTCCCTTGACGAACCTGCTCTGATACCAACTGTCACGGGCTTAGAGTTTCAGTACCACTCTAGCTGCTCCCGTGCGGCACCAAGACGTTGCTTTCACTCTCGCAAGTACTTGGTCAGCCTAACTCCCGTGCACACCTTAGCCAACACACTCCCCTCGTGCGCTTACTAGTGTTGTAGTTGCCCTCGCCCTCTCCTCACCTGGCTTGCACACTCACACACACTAAGGCACTTAAGTTGGTAAGGAAAGAACACTTCTATTACTTCAAAGAATGCTTTGTACAAGGCTAGCACTCAAGCTCTCTACAAGGCTCTCAAGACTCACTCTAGGACTTGTTGGCTACAAAATGAAGTCCTACCTCTATTTATAGGCATCCCCATCCCTAATGGACGGCTAGGATGCATTCTAACCAACGGTGGAGATTGATTATCTAGAATCTTCTCCCACCTTCTTCACACTTCCATACTTATCTACTAGTATCTACAACATTCTAGAATTCTCCATACTACTCCACACAACTCTAGAGAACTCTAGAACCTTCCACACACTTCTACACATTTCTACACATATCTAGAAACTTCCACATAACTCTAGACTATTCCGGAAGACTCTAGAAACTCCACTTGCCATGCAGTTGCCATGCAGCGTCCTCCTCAGCGTCTGCGTGTCGCCTGCGTGGCACAACCTCCATAGGCGGGGCGTGACATTATGCTGAAGAATTTTCCAATAACTTATAAATGTGATGTTTACAGCTATGGAATGCTGTTGTTTGAGATAGTTGGAAGGAGGAAGAATGTCATACGCAGTCCTACTGAGAGCCTAGATTGGTTCCCAAAACATGTTTGGGATCACTATGAGAAAGGTGAGTTGGCAAAAATGACCATGTCGTGTGGGATTGAAGAAAAGGATAGAGAGAAGGCAGAGAGAATGTCCATGATCGCTTTGTGGTGTGTCCAAGACTCGCCGGAGGCTAGGCCACCGATGAGTGCTGTGGTGAGGATGTTGGAGGCAGGAGTGGACATTGCTCCACCTCCTAGACCATTCCACTATCTGTTTTCAGTAGGCATGAATGTGCTCAAACCATTCAGCAGCACTGACAATAATAGTTCAAATGATTCAAGAAGGGATGAGGGATCTCATTCGTATTGGTACAAGGACTCCACCCCACTAACGACCAAGTACGAAATACAAATTGTCAGCTCTTCTTCATAAAAGTGAACATTGATTCTACCCCTAAAATACATGATTGAATTTGTATATTCATTTGAATTTTATTTTATCTATTTTGGTTTAAATTTTGGACGATGTCATACTGTCATCAAAACCTTTTAGTAGCATATATTAGCTATTTGATTTGAGCCAAGTGCTTTCATCTTAGCAACTTTTTAATTTTCTAGTTAAATGCCATGGCTAGATCACATAATATATGGGCTAAATGAATATTGGTCTTATGCTCAGGAAGCTCCATTCGAACATGGATTTATTTCCGAGTGGGGGTCGTAGAGGTTCGAACTGCTTTTCTGGGTAGAAGCAGCACATCCATTCAAGGTCATCCCCACCCAAAAAATGATTTTGGCATAATCAGTCAACCCAATTGTTAAATGCAATTTGAATTACCAAAAAAAAAAAAAAACAGTTGTTAAATTCAAATTTCCATAAATAATAATAAAAAAAAATGCAGAATAACTGATTTCAAAAGTACAATAACCACAATAACTTCAGATAATTAAAAATAAAAAAATTTAAAAAACTAAAAACCAAAAACAAAAACAAAAAAACAAAAACAAAAAACAAAAACAACAACAAAAACAAAACAAAACAAAAAAACACTAGGCTATTTTTATTCATACTAAAATACCAATGACATAAACAAGTTATTCTTATAGAAAAGTACCTTGTAATGACCCAGAAAATGAATGAGAACCACCACAAAAAAGTTTCATCAGCAAACCCAAATATGGAAGAAAACCCCCAACACAGCCTCAAACCCTTCAAATTAAAATGTCCTCTGCCTCTTGACTCAATAAGAAAATTACAATTAGGCCGAAGATAATCAAACCTTTACATGTTATTTGATTGCAACTAATCCGTTATGCTTACCAGGTAGAGGCAATTCAAATTTGTGCGATTGTAAGGCCTTTACAAATGGATCATTTATCCCCCAAGTATTTCAACTTCTTTACCTTTGTACAGTGCACTTATTCACAGACGAAGCACTTATGCTATGATTGCTCCCACACCAAAATCCAACTTCCAGGGTGTTACATCCTGAAGTAATGATGTCGCATTTGTTGTTGTTGACCCAAAGGTGTGGATCAAAGGGCAATCTAGTAATGATGATTACAAACCATTAATAGTGTAGTGTCACGAATTTTTATGAATTTTTCGATATTTACTTTTATTTATTTTTTCATACATTGTTTTGCATGACGTGTGGGTCCAGTATTATTTTCCATTACATGTGCTTACTTATTATTATTAATTTTTTTTTTTGGAAGGTGTGCTTATTTATTATTGTGATGATGTGTTGTATGTGTACATATAAAAGTATATGTGGTTATATTTTATGGCATGACAAAAGATTAAGTGAGCTTTGAAGGGCATTCTTGACAATTATGTGTTAGATGGACTTTTGACCCATTTTGAACCACTCATTTTTTATGAAGATATGGTCAAAAATTAGCCATAACTTTATATCCTTTCTCTCTCTCAACCCTGTTCCACTTCCTTTCTCTAAATCTCAAGTTTCTCTCTAGATTTGGGCTAGCTAGGGTGAGATTTAGGAAGGGAGCAAGGATGAAAGTTTATCCTACTCTCCAAGAGCTACATTTTGGTACTAGTCTTGCTACAATTTGGTGAATTCCGAGCTTAGTATCTAGGAGTTTTGGGTTGCATCTTTGAGGTAGGGATGTTTAAAGTATTATGCTATGCCTCTTTTTGAGCTTCTTCATTTGATTCCATGTGTAATGTTTCTGTCTTTTCTTATTTTCCATTTTCTGGAATTTTTTCAATTTTTCGGGATTATTTTCATTTTGTCTCGTTTTACGTGCCGAACTCCGTGGGGTGTACCGGGTGTGTTCCGGGAGTCGAGTGGGGCATTTCTTTGAGTTCAGGACTCTTAGAAATGTATCGTTTGCCATTTCGGCATTTTTCAGTTTTTCAGGCTGGGAGGTTCCAAGCGGGACCCGTAATGGAAGTTGTAGCGCACGAGGATTATTCTTCGGGTTTGTTGCATTTCATGCATTATTATTTTATGCTAAATTACATAGTCATATGTTCAAATGTGGTTAGTACGTATGTATGCATGTGTATATATATATATATATATATATATATATATATATATATTAATGTTAAAGGTTGATATTTTAAAAGCTGTGGGACCCGCTGGTGATATAAGTCATTACAAAATACTTTATAGTCATTAGCTGACTATCATTCTCTTATATCAGTCACACCATCTCTCTCTCCCTCTGTTTTCTTTTTCTTTTTCTCCACCAATTCAAGCTTTGATTTAGGTTTTGTTTTTGAAATTTTGACTTTGCCACTTAAGGCAAAATCGACGAGCACAACGAGAGCTTCACATTGATCAGAGCAAAGTTGCATTTGGGCCACCTTGTAATTTTTGAAAATTTGGGATTTGTGGGGAATTTTCTTCAATTGTGAGGTAGGGGATATCTAATGCCCAATCTCTTTGATTTTTGTGATTCATCCCTCCATATTTGATGTACAATATGTTTAATTGTGGCCATTCTTGAATAATGGTTATGATATTGTATATGATTTGTATATCTATGTAATTCTCAATATTGTAAGTGACATGTATGTATATGGATTTGTTGATAGCATGCTAAAGTGATTTTATTGTATACCTGTTTATCCCAATATTGTAAGTGACATGTATGTATACGGATATCCACTTTGGAACGACAACAGTTCCTGGCACGCCGTAATCCTTTCCACCCACGTGGAAAGCGGAACTCTGAGCTTTTTCGCGAGCCAAACATACTGGCACTCCTGGTGGGATATCTAGAAAGATTATTCAATAGCCGGTGGAAGAAGGTAAGGCAAGTTTGTCCAAGACCCTGCCGAAATTGAAGAGATACAAGCCAGTGAACTTCCAGTCGAAAGTTCACGAGTTACACTCAAAGAAAGATATTTGGTGGAAAAGTTTGCTCAAACAATGGCAAACGGACCATCATGGATAACATCCACATGATGGCTATGCAACAAGATAGGCATATTCAAGACCTAGCAAAGGCCATTCAAAATCAAGCAAGAGTTGCTCATTCTCAAGAGCAGAAGTTAGAAGAAATGGTGGACCGAATCTCTTATATGTTCGAATCTATGTTAGAACGGTCCTTTGGAAGCTTGGCTCGAGCTTTGGCTCCTCGACCAAACAATTCTGAAGGGACTCAACTGTAACGACCCAAACCCGAGGGTCCGAATCGCTAACCAGGTTCGGATATATCCGAACCCGAGGTCAACTAAGGACACTACCATCATTTTTTACGTCAATACATAATATAGGTGTTATTCCAGGGTTTTTTTAAAAAATAGTAATAGTGATAATAATAAAATAAGATCATAACTACAAAATACGTCAAAACAGTCCACTAACTCATCGAACCCTGTGGAAGAGCCTCGTCCGGCACTTCCCTTCCGTATCCTGAAAAATGTTAATAATAAAGGGGTGAACATAAGCTCAGTTGGAAGTGTCTAAGACAAACTTCTTATGACCCCGTGAATCCATACGAAGAATAAATAAAGGCAAACAGGATCATGCCATAGGAAATATATATATATATATATATATATATATATATATATATATATCAATAACACCACAACCAACATATAACCAAATATCATCCAATCACCCATACACCAAATATACTAATGAGATGCAATGTCATGCCAATGTCGCTCCCCGTTTTTCAAAACGATTCCTTTATACCATTCCAAACCATTAATGCAATCTGGCCCATAACACCTCTATGGCGCCACGAGGGAAAGATTGGCTAGCTTTCCCCAACCACATGGTACCTCCATGGCATCGTTTGGGCCTAGGTAGCTCAACCTCCCTCTAGATCACATTAACACCCTAAACCACTAGGTGCCTTCTAGGCGTCCGGTTTTCACAAACCTTTCATCAAAAATCATTTTCCAAAAATAATTTCCTTTATTTTAAAATACTTTCCCCCTTTTCTTTCCCAATGAATGCACGAATGCTTCATGCGACTTAATGCCGTAATATCATGCAAATCAACTCTAACAAATATTACAAGCTTATTAAGATAATTCTCATGGAAGAACAACATGTATATATATACTCAAATTTTAGCCATTAAATATAAGAATTTAAAGCACAACCATTTAAGCATGATTCTCTATTCATTTTAACAACTATCTACTCACAAACCACTTTCACATAGAAACCCATATGGATATACAAATTTAATATGCAGCACTAAAGAAATTTCTCAAAAGAATAATCACATTCAAGCATATTGTACATTAATTATAGGAAAATGAATCACAAGAACCAAAGATTGAGTGAATTAGAACACCCTTACCTCAATTAGAAGAAAAAACCCCAATTCAGCCCAAGAAATTCTAAATCCCAAGTGCTCCAAATTGAAAATTGCTCTGATCAATACGAAGCCCATGACGAGCTCTTCAACTTTGCCTTAAGTGGCAAAGTCTAAATCCACTGTTAAAAAAAAAAAAAAAAAAAAAAAAATCACTGGAATATCAAATCTCCATGCTCTCGGCTTTGTGTCTCTGTCCTCAAAACTCTCTTTGTCTTTCATTAAATTTTTCTCTTACTGAATACTCACACCATGGTCACAAAACAAATACTGATATATATAAAGGCCTCTACCGACATAAAATCTGAATCTGCTAACCTAAAAGATAACACCACGTGCAAAAAGCCAAAGAACTTTTGGCCAAACAAATATCTAAGTCGTGGGTCCCACCATATCATTACAATTTCTTTATTCCCTTATCTCTTCATTTTCGTCCAGCTACTGCTCCTTTTTTTATCCAACAAAACATATATATCATATATATATATATGCACATACTTTTCAAATCCTATTAAAATATCATTCAAGTGGGACCCCATTAAATAATCACCATCACTTTTCTCTTTTCAATTTCGCTACTCCCTTCTTCATTCTCCAACAGACAAGAGATATACATATATATATCATATCCATGCATAAAACTTAAATCCTTAAATATCTCTTTAATTGGCCCCACGAAAATAACATCACCAATAAACAAACAATCTCTTTCTTACCTTCTAATTTTCGGCAACCACCAATACACCTTCAGCTGCTACATATATATATATATATATATATATATGTAACAAATAACAATCAAATCATATCAAAACCCATTAAATATCTTAAGTGGGTAAATCTCCAACCTTAATTAAATAATTAATTATGACAACAAAAAATATAAAAAATTATAATCTAAAAAAAAATTTGGGTTGTCACATCAACAGTCGGCCTTTCAAGCCAACAAGCAGGCCACATTTATTGAAGATAGTTCCTCTCAATAACATGCAGGTTTATTCCTTCCAACACAGCAATAGATGCAATTCATTCTAGTGGCACAGACCTACATTCCAGTTGCATCTGTGGCCGCTTCTGTGGCACAGATTGCTATTCCACAATCAACGCCTATGCCAGTCACTTAGCAAGTCCAGAACTCCCCACCTATGGAGTTTCTATAGCAGACTTGGCATGATTAGCCTGGCCAACCATGGCCATACCACATTCCTCAAACACAGTAGAATGTTCCACCCTTGTATGCATTTTAGATGCCTTTTAAGAGTAAATTTTTTGAAAGATTGATATCATGCTTGCTTTTATAGTCCATATCATCTTGATTTTGTGATTATTTTGAGATTCACTTTAGGATTCTACACTAGCATAGGTGCACACTAGCATTCGTTTGTGGGGTACATGCTTTGTTGATTATTGATCTGGTTATATCCCAATTAAGCTAGTAGTGCTTTGAAAGCTTTCATTCTTGACAAATATAAATAACAAACCCTTTTCACTAAGTAGTCAAGATTCTAGCCTCATCAAGCATTAAATTTCTTGATCCGAAAGGTAAAGGGCCCGAACTTTAGGGTTTTTTTTTTTTTATTTTTTATTTTTTATTTTTATAAAAAAAAAAAGAAAAAGAAAAAGAAAAAAGTAAGTACTTCTTACCAAAGGTGAGGAGTAAGAAGTGATTAGATAGATGTTGTTTTGATTTGTAGCCTAGTTGATTTGAGCTTGTAAGTCTTTAGGGGTGTCTTTACACCTAATGCCCTAAAGCCGTCCGGTTTGGGAGTCATTGACCTAACGCTCGCCTCATGAATCTTTTAGAAAGCTTAAGAAATCACTACATTGCACTATGCTTCCATCTTTGATCCTAAAAAAAAAAAAAAAATCAAGTGAAAAGAATAAGTGTACCTAGTTGAATAAAATTTTAATAAAAGATTCATTCTTTGTCTTAATGATTGGTACTAGATTTGTGTGCTAACTTGAGGCCGGTTATGACCATTTCATTAGTTGGCTTAGTCAGCAACATACTCGATGCCGGTTCACTTAAAAAAGATTCTAGAGTTATTTTGATTTGTATGATCATTTTCTTGATGTGTGGAGGATCATACTTGCTTGCTTGTTATTGAAATTTTGAAAAATTGCTTAGAGATGGTTGAAAAATTGCATATTTGAAGTAGTTTTCTCCCGATGCCTATTTGGAATGTTGGTGCCTCTTAAGTGAGAAAGAGCTTAATGTTTGTGGGTATCATTTTTGGAAACCCTCACGATATTTCACTTGTCCACTAGGGGTAACCTAGGGGTTTAAAAGGCTTGTTGCATATGCTAAATGCAATCATGTTCCCTACGAAAGTGGCGTTATCCTTTTATTGCTTTCTAGTTCATTCTTGTATAGTTGTTAGTTTCTTGCTTTACTTTATAGTTCATTGCTAGGGATTAGCAATATTTAAGTTTGGGGTGTGATATGAGCTGAAAAGTACGCATTTAAACCCTTAATCTTGAGTATACTAAGACTTTTTTCTATTTTATTTTTCTGTTTTATTCTAATTTCATGTTTTTCTCCTTTTTAGGTACGTATCCCCAAAATAAGTTAAATCAGCTGAATTAGAACATTGGAGGAAGCAATCTAAAGCCTAGTGGAAAGAAGGAGCAAAGTGGAAGCAAAATGGTGAAAATTTCCTCTTCGATCGATCAAACCATGCTATGATCGATCACACTGTGATCATTCCAACCTTGCCTTGATGGATAGAGCCTTTGTCTTTATCCTCAGAAAAATTTCTTATTCGATCGATCCACCTTTTTCTTCGATCGATCGAACCTTTTGATCTTATCCTCATAACCAATTTTGTCATTTTCCCTATAAATATCCCAGCTTTGTCCTTATCCAAATAATTGCGCCGCCATGCTTTGATCGATCGAAGCAACAGTATAATCGATCGAATTGCCTCAAAAATCGTGTAAAACAGATTTCAAGCCCAATTGAAGGTGTGCTCGTGGTGCAATCATTTGGAGGTCCTAGTACACGAGGTCTAACCATTGGGTGTGACATTTGAGCTACCTATATAAAGAATTTGGCTATTTTTAGTAAGGAGGTTAGTTAGTTGGATTTTGGCTAGAGATTAGAGAGAGAATATACACATTTTGGGGAGGATTCTTCCAACTTCTAGGGTTTCAACCAAGAACACCAAGGGGAGGAAGACGAATTCAACCATGAAGAGATTCCTTAAGGGTTGGATGACAACAACTATAAGTGGCTAGATCATTCTTTTGGGGCTAGAGATGGCCCTAGGCTTGCTTCCTAAACTTTAATATTTTGTAATTAGTGACGATTTGTATTGTAATTATTGTATTGACCTCATGTTTATATAAATCTTGTTTTCACATGATTTGTATGGTTTAATGTTTCCAATTAATCTTTCAATTCTTTTCATATATCTATGTGTGATGGAATGGATGATTATAAGCTTACACTTGATTCTTTACATTTGGTGCATGTCTATGTGTATTAAAATAATGGATTTAGTGTTGGTCAATGCATGGTGCTTACTTGATTACTCTTGTATTTTATTTGATGAATTATGCTTATTTCTTGATGGATTGTGCTACCTCATTAGTTTAATTAAGTTTAATTTCCTTATCATTAGTGTAATAGTAGTGTAGTTGCTTTAATTTCCTAGATAGGTAGATAATCCATTCTTGTTGTTTGATAATCCATGCTTATAAGTGCAAATAGTATATTCCTCTGGATTTTCGCGTGTGCATTAATTGTGGGTTTATCGAATGGTTAATAGCTTAATTTGATAGGTTGTGCTACTCACTAAATTGATTACACAATGTATGCTTATTTTGCCATCTACTTCACACACTTGACTTATAACATGGAATCCCCATAATTTAACAAATATTAGATGTTTGTGAGGTAAAATCTAGTGGTAAACTCTATGTTCTAAGACCATTCTCTCATTCTCTACACCTCATTTACTTAACTTGTTTTATATTGCATTATTTTTAATTAATCATAGCTAAATTCAACCAACAAACCACTCACTTTGATCATTCGACCTACTAATCCAATTTTGATTTCGTAGTATCTTGCAAATCCCTTAGGACGATCCCTTTTCACTCATACTACATAATATAGTGTTAAGTGATTTTATAAATTTTAAATGTGGTAGTCATTTCACACCCTCACACTTTTCACATCATTTTGACCACAAGGCCAAGGTTCACACCAAGGATACAATACCATTGTTACCAATTACATACCCTAAAATAATAAAAATTACATTGCCATTAGAATGAATACAATTACAACATGATTGATCTCAAAACACTACAAATAGTGAGAAATACAATGAACATCAAATGTCACTTCCTAAATGGTCTACAATGGTGAAGATGAGTCATCCACTTCGTCTCTTTTGAGTCCTAAAATATTTAAGATAAAGGGGTGACCACCACCGCTCAGTAGAGGATGCCTAAATAATGTTTCCTCAAGTCAAGTAAGCATGACACATAACATATAGGAGCATAGTAAGATAGAAAAGGGGGTCATGTAAAAGATTTTAATTCACAAATTCCACCATCAAACACACAAACAAGCCCCAATATTAAATAAATGTCATGCATTATGTGTCCACGCCCCACACACACAACCGATTCATACGCACTCACATAAAATATGTACTAACTAGCCAGACTTCGGGTACCTTCTTCCATCCCTATGCCCAATTAGTACCATCGTTAAAGGGATACCTTCCCAATGCCCGTTTTAAGAAAAACATTTACTCAACTACCTTGCAAACTCTTTTCCACCCATGAATTCCCACACACCACTCTAACCACACCAATACCATGCTATGGAGATGTCATGAGAATGCGGTATGATCAATCTAGAATAACCATACATTCCATCGTCAATAAGTAATTACAACTTGAACCATAGGCATGCTTTTACTCATAATTCATCAAGAAGTTCATATAACACTTAAACCCCAAACCATTCAAATTCATTATAAAAGGTAAACTCAAATAAGTAAGTTATCATATAATTAGCATAACAAACATGGTTTAGATCTCAATACTTAACATTTGTCTCAATTAAATCACATATAATACACAATATACATATAAGATATACAATCTCCCAAAATCAATACACTTAGCACACAATCATCATGCTTAACATATAAAATAGTGTAATTTCCAATTCAAGCAACAATTAAGCAATTTAGTATCATGCTTGAAACCCTAGAACACAAATTCTTCAAATTAAACCATATTAAGCATACTTTCAAGGGGAAACAAGAAAATTGATTACCATAACCTAGGATTACACAATTTAGACAACCCCTACCTTAAGGATGCCAAACCCCAGCTTGCTCCAAGCTTTAGAACTCCTCCAATTTGAAAGCTCATGACATTAAGATGAAGAGGAAGTGAGGAGGAACAACATTTCTTCTTGGAGATACCCTAAAAGCTCAAGTCCAAGCCTAAGTTAAAAATCTCCAAGCACTCTAATGGCCTCCAAATTCACATCATTGCATAGATCGGGAGATGCTCTACCACTTCTCTAACTAGCCTTCACTCCAAATCCAACTCCTAGGAATTTTGAAATTTTCAAAGTGGCTCTAATTTCTCACTATGGTTGTGTAGAGGAGAGGAGAGGAGAGGAGAGGAGAGGAAGGGGAACAACTTTGCCTTCATGGGCACACTTAAAATCACAACCTAAAGCCCTCAAATTGAAGCTTTCCTAAACAAATACATGGAGGTGATACATAGATAGATATAGAAAGAGAAAATGTGAGGAGGAAGATGATGAATAGTGGCCAACATTTCATATATATAACCACCCACCATTTCTTGCTAATTACGTCATTTAACCTAAACTTTCATAGCTAATTACCCCTTTCTTCCAAACAACTTTCATGAAATTACAATAAGGCAACATCCCACCGAAAAGATAACAATAATGCCCTCTAACTGCCTTTCACTTAGTCCCTCGCTATTCCTGTGCACTTAGGCCACCCCGGACCCACACGGGATCCCCCTGGTCCAAAACTCAAAAATATCCAAAATGAATCAAAGAATATTTCTAAGAGTTCTAAACTCAAAGAATGATTGAAATGTCTCTTAGAAATCATACGGAGCGCCAATCGATGCACGACACATAAATCGAGGAACCGAAAAAAAGAA